AGAAAAGAAAGGCCCACCAGTGGCCAAGCGGTTCCCCGAACATGGAGTTCGGTCGTGGGTTCGCGCCCCGCCAGAATCGGGCTTGGCCACATGGAGTTTTCCTGGTTTCCTCTACGTTCATAACGCCTAAATAGGGGCCAGTTACCCTTAAAAAGAGCTCCCAGAAGGATATCGCCTAAGACCTGTATTGCGTTGCCGTAACTTAATTAACAAACAAACAGTAGAAAAAAAAAATAAGAAAAGTAAAATCAAGATCAGAATCTAACTGCAACAAACTAAAAGAGCGATATGAAACTGCAAAATGTAATTAATAGGATTGTTTCAGCTTATTCACTGGTTTCGGGGCACGATTGCATCGAGAACTTATGGAGGGGGAATATAATAGCAAAAGTTGCGGTTAGCTTCCCTTAATGGCAACATCACTACGAATAAATTTCACTTTTTATGGACAAGATAGAGGAATGTAAATGTTTGAAAAACGAACAAAAGATGATTTGATATTAAATATATAATGCTCTAATATATCATATATTGTATATTTAATTCTTAGTACTCTATTCAGTTCTAATACTAAACGCCACTTATTGTTGAATTTCAACACGCTTTCATCTATACATTTCGACAGTCTGAATAAACGATTACAAGTAAGGAGAAACATGGTTAGTCAACAGATTAGTCAGTCAGTCATTCTCCTCGACAAATTAGCTATTCATATTAGCATGTCGCTTCTTTTATTTTTAATTCCAATTGCAAAATTTTCTATTAGGCTATTATTTCTCAATTTTCTGTTCAACTTTTGAACTGAGATTTGATAAGCTAAAATGAAAGCAAAATTCAGAACTTAATTTATATAAAGCCGATTATTTATATGAAACCAAAATACAAAAGCATCAAAATGTGATGAGATCATAACATTAAAAGTATTATATATTCAGAATACATTTGCAAGCTAATGATTACGTTTAACACTAACAACAATCATTTTGATTACCTTTATTCCTTATCAACATAAATGATATGTTAAAATGCGAATAAAGGTTTTATGTAAACATTATTTCAATAAACATCCACAGTCATCGATGGATATATTAAAATATTACTAGTAAATGCAAGTAAATGTAATTATGCAAACAATTATTAACGTGATACAAATGGCGACTAGAGGAATGATTATATCTATTTTGCCAGATGAAAGCGAAAAATTAATCTTTGAGTAAGTTACGTAAAATGACACCATTTTACAAATCTGATTAGATAACCCGAATAATTGACTAATTAAATGTTGTAAATTGCTTTTATTTATATTTAATTTCGTAATTAATATTTTATGTAATTGTTATTCTCATTGACAAATCAAAAAAAAAATCTCTAAACAGCACCACTAAAAATGCCCTGAGATTATTGTAGGGAAAGTGGTGCTCCCGAGGGGTGGGCCAAGGAGTCCTGTTACCTTCCAAAGTAAGAAAAAATATTTTTGGAAAAATTTACCAATTAAATTTTTTAAAATATATAAAAACAACACGACACACAATACCTGTATTTATCTATAGCGGTCACAAGATGAGAATTTTATTGAGTTTGCATTAAAAATGTTTTTATCCGTTCAATTCGCTTCCCAAAATTAAATCTTGAGTTTGCCACTGGTGGAGAGAAAAAAATATGAATAATGGCTGTTCTAAAAAATTTTTTCTGTAACTTTGTGGATATAATAGAATCAGAAAACGAAGTTTAACGTTTCAAAATTTTAGAAATATCCACATTTTGTTTGAAATGAAGAAATTTTGTACTGTTGGAACATCAAGTTCACAAACGAAATTTGTTCTCAAACGAGCGAAATTCCAAATCTAACAGTTTTTCCATTTTACTAAGACAGATCGTTTGATTACGAGATATGAGTGATCAATGTCATTTCTGCATATATCTCAGATTCTTGACTTAAAATTATCAGAATGAAATACCCGACTCAAATAAAAAAACAGGATAATTGAAGACTAATGGACAGTGTTAATGAAAAAAAATATTCAGGGACAAAAGCGGCAAAACGAGACTTGATCTACCCGAGAAAACTTATGTTGCCGCAAAGCCACAATCCAGGTACCATGGCTAATGGGTAAAAGTAAAAATGGAATGCAAAAAATTCTCGAACGCAAAAGTTTTATCGATGTACTGAAAGTGTTTTGACAAGAAAACAATCCCTATGATCAAAGCAGAAACACTTCAATAATGAGAACACTATAAATACAAGACAATCCTTATCACATTTTTCCGAGAGACTGCGTTTGAAGCAAAATGCTAAGGGCATTTCGAATGATTGTTTTCTGATGAATATCCATATTTGAAAAATGCACACAGTAATCAAATGGGCAGTAAGTAAATCTGGGGCGAGGGCTTGGTGTCACTTACAACTTTTCCCTTTCCTCTTAAAACTGGCAAGAAACGTTGTGTTTAATGGTTTCCACATAGGGAGAATGTACGGAAGTGTGAGGTTCATAGAGAAGTTTTTCTAAGAATATTTCCAAGACTTTCTCACACAAAGAAAAATGGGTTAGGGGACGTTGGTATAAGTTTATGGAACGCATAGTGGCTAGAGAATGTTTGGTAATCACTAGTCTAATATCTAACTCTGCAAAATATTACCTTTTGGCGTAATGTTTCTCGGTGAAATCATGTTGAATTTTTTAAAAGTCTTTCGGATAAACTAGGCTTGGTTTTGCCGCCTTTAAAATTTAACTTACAGGGAAGTACAATCAAATTGTTTGGCAATCCTAGAAAAATGAAGCTGCTAAATGTTAGAAGCATCAAAATTTGACCAAAATGAGATTTTGTCAAATTTCAACATTACAATATTAATTAACACGAGGGCGATCTACTAAAGGGTTTCCCCAGTAGGGACTATGGCAAACTGAACCTTATTGAGGTGTTAGGCACCAAAGCCGATAAAAATTCAAAATTTTGTGGAGGATAGGCGCCAAAAAGTTATTGGCGAAATCGTTGCTTCTACGATGGCGGCTTCGAGATAAAAATGGTACTGGAATTGTTTAACAGATTTATAGCCGAGATGTTGTTCCTTGCTTTCTTTTTAATAACTTCGCATTCTTTGTGTATCTTCAAGCAGTTCAAATCTTAGACCAAGAATTTTTCAGTGTGCATAAGTAGTCATTATTATATTTTATATATATTATACATATATACTCCGACAGTTCCCGCTTTAGGGCAGGAGGGCCTCTAATCCGAAAGTAATAAAGTTACAAATAAAAAATAGGTTAATTAAAAAAATTATTAAAAATATCAAATACTTTATTTCTCCTATACGTAATTAAAAATGATCTTAAAAACTAAGCAAACTTACAAAATTTTTCATATTTCTTATTCACCATACCTCAACCGAAAACGGTACTTTCTTCCTGCTGCGCGGAAAGAAAATTCCACTTCCTGGCCGAGGGAAGTAAAAAATCGTACACAGTGATACCCCGAACTTACGCGGTTATCGCTCGGTCCCACCTATCGCGTACGTTCGGGGTATTAGGTCTATAATAATATACTATTAGTAATTAGTCCTAGGTCTAATATACTATTGTTTTTCATTAAGGGGCCCTATCTTTGTCCTAGGCCCAGGGCCCCTTACGTTCTAAATACGGCACTGGAACTGTCACTCGCGAACCAGGGACACTCCATTTGGGACTATCTTAGAAATGAGAGGAAGACCTAGGGGCCAAATCACAGAACTCTTTGCGACCCTCTTGACATTTACATCCCATGGCGCCATCTGTTATCTGATGGTTATAAACTATTTTAACTACTAAAAAAAAGGCAACGCTTAGTAAAGGGTGGGGACTTTTATAAGTAAAGATTTCCTAACATTAAGTCCTACCCCTCTCGACCTTTCACAAGTGTTTACTTGTGGGGGGAGAGGGGACAGTTCAGTGTTATTTCGGGATAGCATCTTATCCGCTCCGCGAAACAACTTCCAGACAAACTAACCACTAATTTTCAGAAGCACGTTTTTTTTTGGAAACTCTTGAAAAGAGTATATTTGAACAAGCTGTTTGTGTTTAGGGCTACATGCTCACCAAGTTTGACTGTCTCCGTTAGTATGCTGTAAATTTAGGATCGTGGAGTCAACTATATTAACTGTTTAAAAAACATCCGATCTGTTTTATAGTTACTTTAGTAATATTTAAAATCCGAAATAGATTTGTCATTTATTACATACTCTTCCATTTTTATTACAGAATAGCAATGCAAGTGCATAGGAAAAATACCAGCTTGATTTAATCTAATCAAAATATGAAAACTATAAATACATCTAGATAACTTCTAAATTTATAGTTCAAAAATCACATTTATATTGACGTCAAACTGAAATTTAATCATAACAGGTTTGATATTTTAAGCTAAAGAATGGTCACCGCTCTCAAATTACTCACACCTGTTACTTTATGTAACAATGATTCATAACTTACCTATTCACAAAAATCTTATTTGCAGTAAAAAAAAAAATTTAAGTTAAAAATCTTAAGGCTGTACGATCAAAATGTTTTACTTTGAAACTGTTTATATAAAGAGATTTTTCTAATGTCTTCCACCAATAGCTTTTAATTTAAAAGTTGCCTGTACGTACAGCCATCTGATTTCCATATTAGTTGAACAGAATAATTTAACCTGACCTAAATTCGTTTAACCTGTTAGTTTTTTCAGGACACTATGAACTGAAAACCGATTTAATAATCTTTAATTCACAGATCAAATTTGTTCTATTTCTCCCAACTATAATAATTAAAATCAAACATTAAGTGAATATTACAATTTGCATATAACCAGTAAGAGTTGGAACTTTTATTATTCTGATAACTGCCTCTAAAATACTGAAATTTACAGTATAAAACAATAAAAACTAGATTAGTAGTCAAAGTAAATGGTAAGTATTTATAGTTAAAGAATTTGATGTAAATTTTTGATAAAAATACTGTGTAATCAAATTTATAAAATCATAGGAAAAATCAAGATGAGTAAAAAACTCTCAAAACTAAATTTTATTGTTGTTGTTACACAAAAATTTACAAGGGCAAATGAAATAAAAATTTAAAAAGATTCTTAAATTCAAATATATTTTGGTCAAATTTAAATATAAATTAAAATTATGTGAAGCAAATTAGAATAAATGAATAACCAGATCTTTCAGTTTTTGGAATAACTGGATATCTAAATGACACTTGCCCTCAGACTATGTAATAGTTTAATTGTTTTCTATAATAAAACATTATATATGTTTGTAAACCCTGTAATATTCTGCTTTAAAGGAGCACTGCATGCCTTCAGTCACCCTCTTTATATTAAACTTTGTACAGCAAAAAGTCCACTTCAGACTGACTGGTAGCCTTGCTGACGACTTCGTTGACGTCCCACCAAATAAGCAATTAGCACTATAATTACCAAGACTGCCAAGGCACATCCAACAGCAATGGGAACAATGTCGTTGATCTTCTCATCCCCAGCACATTCTGTTGCTGTTGAAGAAATTAAAGAAATCAATTTTAAATTATGGTAAAAAATCACTAGCAGTTCTGAATTTACAATTAAATTTAGGGCTACCAAGTTTTCATGAAGTATATAATACTTTAGACACAATTGAAAAAGCTTATGTTAATGGAAATTTCAGATTTAAAATTTATTAGAAAAAACAAGAGTAAATTCTTCATATTTTGATCAGTCAAGCTAGTAGCAAAATTTCCAGATGATTTTGCCAACATTTTACATGTATGGTAAAAATTTCAAGCCCCTCCCACACAATTAAATATTTATTTATAAGAATTAAAAATTCTAAATTCATTTCTTTCCTTTATATATATATATATAAGGAAAGAAATGAATTTAGAATTTTTAATTCTTAAAAATAATTTTAAAAAATTTTATAAAACAAATTACTTTCCATCCTCTGTATACTAATAGGGTCTTTTAATCCATTCATTATGGGCTTAGCCAAGCCCACAACAGGATGGAAGAATGAAGAATGGGGTCTGACATCTGGGACAGACTATCCCAGAAAATTCATAGGGTTCTTCCAAATTTGATCCAAAGATCAGTAAGTTGATGTCTTAATGACCAGATGACTGATAAGATAGTTATAACTATTATTTCAACAAAATTATGAATTAGAAAAATTATTCAGCAATTTTCTGGAGCTGGTGCTGAAAAAAAGTGTTCATTGAGTCTGATTTTAAAAAAATTTGTTCAATCAGTAATTACTATCATTTTCAATTACCTTCTCCATATTTATGTTGATTCCTAGCCACAAATTTTAAGTTTTGCTTAAATTACCCTATTTCTAGAGTAGTATTTCAGTTTGCTCCTAGCTAATACATTTTTCTATATCAAAAATATTTGAGGTTTATGTGATATACAAGGTCTGTTCAAAAAGTATCGGACCTTTGGTTGGCAAAAATAAATTTATTGACTTTGAGGTACAAAACCCTAATCCCCTTCAAAGTAGTCTCCTTGGTAATGTATACACTTCTCCCAGCGTTCCTGCCATTGCTGGAAACACTGCTGGAACGCATCTTTTGGAATGGTTATCAGCCGGTCCGTCGCATTTCGCATGATGTCTTCTCTCGACTAAATTTGGGTTCCTTTTAGCGGCATTTTCAGCTTGAGAAATAGCCAAAGGTCACACGGAGCCATGTGGAGAGAGTACGGAGCGTGACGAACCACAGGAGTATTGTGTTTGGCGACGAAAGCCCGAATCAGATGCGCAGAATGGGCGGATGCGTTATCAAGATGGAGCTGCCAAGTTTTGATCGACCACAGATCCCATCGTTTGCATCGCACTGTATCGGAAAGACGACGAAGGACCTCCTGGTAGTACTCCTTTGGGATGGTTTGGCCTTGTGGTGCGTACTCACGACACACCACCCCACGAGAGTCGAAAAAACTGTCAACATGACCTTTGATATTGCTGCGGACCTGCCGCGCTTTTTTTGGCCTCGAGGATCGTCCTGCTGAATCTTGCGAATGGTTTACACTCGGGTATCGCCAAGGTTTTTGGCAAAATTTGATGTAATTTCGCTGCTCACGTAGTTCAGTCATTTTCCAGCTTAGTGAAATCCGACGAGAGCGCACTACATGACCTCACTCATACGCCGATTGCCAACGACTGACGCTTTCTGCAAACGGGAAAAAATTCAGGGCTGTGCATGACTGTCCCCTCCACAACTCCACCGAAGGAGGCCTCTCTCGCATCATTGGTTTACGCGGAAAAAAATAAGGTCTCCCCTCCACAACTCCACCGAAGGAGGCCTCTCTCGCATCATTGGTTTACGCGGAAAAAAATAAGGTCCGATACTTTTTGAACAGACCTTGTATATATCTACATATAGCTAAAAATGTACTATTTTATTTCAAAATGTTTACAAGGTGCCATACCAATCTTACATGTATTGATGGTATAAATGTTTGAAAACATTTATGACAAACATCACTCTTCAGAAGTTTAGTGTGGTTTATTGGACTGACTGATTTTGGAACAAACCTCAAATTTTCAATCCCTTTATTTTCTTTCTTTTAGCTAGTTTAGAAATTTATAATCATTGAAGAGCAAAAAAATATATACAAGATCAAGTACTTAGTAACTCAACAGTGCATCTTTGAAAAATTCACCTATCAGTCATTACAAATGAGATAGTGAGTCAGCCATTAAGTAGGAAAAATTATCGTTCTTTATAATGCCTAGTAGTAAATCACATTATCAATTTCACTTTAAATAATAAAGAAAGTTAAGTTACAAAATTATTTTGCAATCAATCAAATAAAATTCTGGAGATAAATTGATTTTAGGGAAAATTGTTTACTCTAGTCACCTGATTAATCTAAGTTTGATACAACAAAAAGTGGGTGTCTGGTATCTTGAAAGAAATCAGTCCCCACATTTTTACTCAAATGCAATTGCCAGCAGCAGACATCTAAATTTAATCAGTTTATTAGACAAAGCTCAAATGATACCATTCATGTCCTACTATAAAATATGATTTCTTTGAATTTAAGAGTTCCTTTTGGAGTTGGAAGCATAGACTAGCCTTATTTGAAGAACAAGAGTACAACAAAAATTTTTTTTTTACAGCAGTGCTACCTTCCTGAAACTAAACTAGTTTTATACAATATAATAAATCTGTTGACATTTTTTTTAAAATCAAAAACTAAGAATAATCAACGTTTTGCATTTTCTTAATGCATACTATCATGTTATTGCTATGTGCTAAATCTTCCCTTCCAATAGCTTTCAAAACTTTTAGAATATTGCAAGAGATTGTTTTGACTTGATTGGACAGTCTAATCAGTTTGAGCCAATCTTTGAAACAATGTCGTACATACTGAGACTAGACCAATTTTATTGTAATTTAAGTTTGAAAAATAATGAATACAAAGTAATACAGAACCTAAAAAATTTACCTCAGAAAATGAAGGCATAACTAAGAATTAAATTGAAACTTCAATAATTTTAATAGGACAAAACATATAAAACTACTTGTTATATATTTAGTCTTCTACAAGGACTTTGCTTATTAATAGGACATTACACTGGTGTTTTGGCTTTAGCAAATAGAGGAAAAAGATCTTATTTAGGGGGAAAATCTTTATTGATCACCTTGTATTATACCTGTATTATACAATATGATCATTCCTCATAGACTAAATATTTAAACTACTTTTAGATTCCAAAAAAGAAATCTTCAAAATGTACCAATAAAAAAAATTTGTATTATAAACCAAATTCAAAGCTTTGAATTTCTAAGTTCCTAGCAGATATTTCATCAGAAAAAACTTATTCTAAAAAAATTGATAGTTTCTTCTACACAATAAGCAAAGTAAGCTGGAATTAGTCAATGATTAAAACTTCATTTTTAAACTAATTTTTAGTTACATAAAAGAAATTTCAGTTCTGTTTAGTACATGCCATGACTTCAATTGAATGACAAGGTTTGATTATGAATAAAAATATAAAAACATCTTAATACATTTATCTGAATAAAAAGCATTACTTTAAGAATATGTATGTTTGTTATATATATATAACAGTCATTGCATGTAAACATATAACATGGCATATAACACAGCCATGGCATGTACAGTACTAATGCTAAACTAAATTTAGATAGTTCAGTGTTATATAAATATACATATTTTCTTCTACTTTTTAAACACTGAACTGTGTTTAAAAAGTAGAAAAAAAAATATGTATATATATAACACTGAACTATCTAAATTCTTAGTTTAGCATATAATTTTATGTATATTGTCCTCTGATATTTAGAGCTTTTAAATCTAAACCAGTCATTTAAATTTGGTGTAGTGAGTGATTAGTCCTATCAGTTACTTTGGTAATAGAATGCTACCTTGAATATGACAGCTATGGCCTGCACAATTGCTGGTAAGATGGTTAATAAAAAGCAGTAGATAAACTATATTTTTTTTATATTATTTTCTTAAAAGAATTAAAGATTTACTTTAGCTATTTGGTGGGATAACCATATCCTTTGTCTTAGTTTGTTCCCACGTGTAGAATGGCAAGTAACAGTCGTGTGTTGTAGCACCATCTGTTATCAAATTTTAGTTATTCACTAATTTTTTGCTAATTGTTAAAAATGTTTGCAAACTATTAAAAATGTACCGTCATTAGTGTTGTAACGAATAGTATATTCGGCCTCAGGCCGAATACCCGGCCAGGAGTGTGGCCAAATAGCCGAATATTCGGCCAAACTATTCGGCTTAATTAACGCACGTACGAAAATTGGCGCGCAAACCGCATTATGGCAAGGATCCTGCTCTCTATTGGCCTGCTGTCACTACAGTTCGCCAATCGCATTAATTCTTGGCAGTTGCAGCCGACAGACAAGAGTGTCGTGGAAGTATGTGATAAATGATGATATCAAATGACCTACACTTGCAAATAACGGAAAAAGAACAGAGGAGGATCGCGAAGTGAAAATGTGAAAATAAATATGAAATTGAGTTGATAACATAATCAAACAAGTCGAGGCAGCTTATTGGCGCGAAATTCGAGCCCGTCAATGCCAAACAATTGTTGTCATAGACTTCAGAAAGCTAAATGCTTGTAATGAAAGTCACTTAGCGTGCATGGGCGAAAGCCTGGGGCCGTTCGGGCTATCAAGCTGTCTCGAATCTGTGAAATCAAAACTGACTTATATCAACGTCCTATCTGTCTCTCTTCTCCGTTATCACCAGGCTGAGTCACATAATTGTAAAATGGGAACTCTACGACGGAAAAGTGACGAATCGAAAGTATTGTGAGCGTGTATTATGATGTATGCACAGGCATACATGGATTAAAGCGATAGAGGTAAGAGAAAGGGAAGAGCAAAGACGAGCGCTTAAAAAGAAGGATAGGTAGGGTCAGACCCTCAGATGTGCGACGATTCTCGAACGAATAGGTGTGTACGTGTGCTGATCTTTGTAATTATAAATTGTGAATACATGTGACTAATATTTTCTTTATTTTGTGCATGCTACAAGTTATAAATAAATATAAACAAACAACACTAACTCGATAACATTAAATCTAAATACCAAAATGCTTAATTTACTGTGTTTTTGTTATTTATTACTCCCGTTTTTAGGTATTCGGCCAAATACCGAATAGTAACCGAATATTCGTTACATCACTAACCGTCATCCACAATAAACGCACGCAAAGTTTTAGCTAGATCAGAAATTGGGAAGTAGATGAATTGCAACTTTTTAACTGGACAGACTGACAGTTAATAAAAAGCTTAAAATAGTAATTATGTATTCAAACTTTTAGATAAGCTTGGGGAAAAAATGTCATGTTCTCTATGATCTGTATTTAATGAATAGTAAACAGAAAAACAATATTTCACAAATTGATTTAAAAATTTCCATCATGAAGTACTAAAGGAATAAACTTCCAGCATGAATCTTCAGATAAAGAGCAAGTTTGAGGAAGCCATTAAAAAATCTTTGCTAACCCAACCTATCATTTGTTTAACATGAAAAAAAGCAAGTTCAAAATACAAAAAACAAATTAATAAGCCATCTTTTGTAAAAGGGGTCAAAATGCTATAGTTAAGGAAGAGTTCACTACTCAGACCTAGGAATGACAAGGAATGCAGAGGAAAAAAAAGATATTCTCCCAATGCTGTACAATATATAAGGGAGAACTAACAGGACCAGAAGATATGAAAGAATAAATACCAAGAAAGATGAAGTTACCATGGCCCTTTCAAAACATGTTTATATGAACAGTGAAGCAGAATCAGTGAAGCCAGAATTATGATTCTCAGAAGAAAACATACCAATGAGAATAAATTGAGGGAGAAGTGATAGCAAAGAAAGGGATATCAGGTAGGAAGGAAAAAACCAATCCCTGACTATTACAAAAGAGAAAGTTCTGAAAGCAAATTTTTATAGTTCTTATAATTTTATTAATTAAAAAGTGTGTTATATTAAACCGAAAAAGAATGACTTAATAAAAAAGTATATTTTCATTATAAAGCTTACAATGTTCTGTTCAGGCAAGTATGAAATTGTTTCTTTTTGAAAGAACTTAGTCTGTTTTAATTCATGAAACTTTCAAGTATTCCAATGATAATTTTTATCTGATGTGCTGGATAGATAAAAAACAATGTTTAGTACAGAAATAACTATGATAAAATTTATTCTGGAAAAACACTTCTAATAAAAATCTGTAGACAGAATATTTTCTGACTAAAGAGCTAGAAAGAAAACTTTAAAAACCAGTGTGAAAATCATACAATGAAAATTAAAAACAAACTAGCTGGAGAATAAAATATCCATACAAACCTTCAGAAAATTTATCTTCTTTTGACTGTCTGAAAGCTTCCACTCTAAGATCCTGCATAGATAACTCCACATTTTTCATATCTATTTTTGTTTCAATCTTACAGAGAAAAGATTTGCCTGCAGATGCTTTAAACTCAGTCAGGTTTGTTGCAAATACTGACTCCATCTCTAACAATATATTATTAATTAAATAAAACAAAATTTTAAAATATAGAAATAAAAAAAACTTACCTGATTGTTGTTTAGCATCTGGAAAATCTCTTGGATCCATGAAATATTGGAAAGTAAATGTTGTTGCAGATATTTCATTGCTTTCATTTTTAAAGAAAATTTCAAATGTATTATTTTGTCCAAATGTTAGTTTTATAAGAGCATTGTCACAGGTATTATTTTCTACAGTTGCATTTGTTGGTAAATTAAGTTTAGCTGTAACATTATTCTGAAATAAAAAATTAAAGTTGTTATATATATAAAAATGGACAAGTATGTCCCTATATTTCACTTTTTCGCCAAAACTACACATCGCACGTGAATGGTGTTTGTATGTGGTGGTAGCCCCAAGTCTCCATTCGTGCATAGGGGTGGTTGCGTCTCGATAGCTATAAGGGTGCGGGAGATATGAGGCTAAAAGTNGTCAACTTTCCCATCTAATTGTTATAATAAAGGGTGGCCTCCGATCTAATTCTGACCAAGGGCATTTTTTCTATTGAAGCTGTTTACATTTTTCCCCCGACAACTACGTTAAATTCGTGGATTTCACACCGGCTTGCTTATTGGGCTGTTGTCTAGTTTGCCAAAATGATAAATAGCGTAGGCCATCTAAATAGGTATACATGTAAAATAATATGTAAAACTTGTTTAAATTTAGAAAATAATTGTCAAATAAAAACAGTAGAAAACATGAGAACATTAGAATAAATTAGTTTTCAGCTTATGAAGTTTATATATTTACTAGCTGCAAGGACCCGCTTCGCTGGGTTTTTATTTGTTCGTACATTTGTATGTAATATAGTTTTTTTTATATATAAAAGACTGCTTTTCTAAGTAATCTAGAATCTAGCTGCAAGGACCCGCTTCGCTGGGCAAAAAGTAACGATAGTGAAGATTAAGATAATTACATTATAGCTAATCTTACCCGTTTTCACAGAATGCAAGAATTAGGTCCCCTGTTTCCAGACTAATTAGAGAATTTTTACATTTAGTCAAACAAACTATTTTCAACGTTTCTGGAACGTTTACAATTGTTCTATAATCGAACCAATATTCAAATTTATATATATATACACACTATATACATACACACACACAAACACAAATCTGTATATTACGTAAGTAAAAGAAATCTAAAATATTGTCATTTAGATAAATATTTGTCAAGTTTTATAAACAAACTCCAAACTGAAATTTGTTATCTGAAATATCTTAAGTTTTTTTTACTTGTTACCTTATAAAAAAAAATAGCCCTATTATCTGAAATGTTCCAACCATTGATTTGCTATAGACTAGACTAAAGCAATAGTAAGTGCACAAGCTTTTAAATACTCTATGTACTATTCATAAAAATATCATTGAATTGCTAGCCATTTGAAACAGATGTCACAATCTTGACTTGAGACATGCAAGTTTTCTAAAAAAGGAAATTAAATTTCTAAAGTTTAGAATTGCATAAAGTTATTTATTGCTAATTTTTCTTTTAAAAGGATCTATTTTAGAAACCCACAAAAGTGTTGAGATCACAAATGTTGCAAAAGAAAAAAAAAAGTAATTTTTGATAATTAATCTTGTAGAATTGTATGTCCAATTTATGCTATCTCAAACAAATTTAAAATCAGCTAGACTTCAAATTTTTCATTCTAATTATCAAGTTAGATACATGGAGAGTGACTTTTTACAAAGTAATAGAGTACTTTAAATCAGTCTTAGAAACTACTGCTGTAGTGCAATTCTTTAACATTTCAGTTGCACAAAAGATTTAAACACTTTCCTCACTATTAGATTCAATTTTATTTTTTTCACAAATAAAATGCAGACTGCATGGCTTTCAGAAATAAAGAATATTTAGAAGCAACTTTAAAGTGTGGGAAAACTAAAAACATTCAGCTCTAATAGTTAAGTCTATCGCAACATCCAAATTTTATCAGTGGAACCATAGTGTTCCAAGAAACCAAGTTGGAAACCACTGCATATAGTAAGATAGCAGTTTCAATATTACCTACTATACAAACTAGATAATGGGTTTTTGATAGCAAGCAATGAATTATTCACTTGTCAGTTAAAAAAACACCACCACTTGCTTTAAAGGGGAGATGATATAGTTTTCAATCATGTTAGTTAATGCACAAATTAGTGTAAAAAAATAAAATTAAACTTTTTAGTTTTTAGTTCTTATTCTGTATTATTTACCAACTGAAGATTATATCAAAGGCTAAAATAGAACAAATACAGCTCCACGGAAGTCTGCCTCAGTTCTTTATATAAAATCAGATTATACATAAATTTCAAAGATCAACATTCAAGACTATACTAACCAAAATGAATTTTAATATACTGTTAAAGTTTAAAAAGTACATGTTTCACCAGTTGCATAAGCTTTATCAAAAGTTTTGGGAAGTTCTGAAGTCACAAAACAGGCAATTTGTGAAACTATTCAAGCAATAACTTCAACAGTAAATATTTAAAGTCAATACAAAAAAAATCTTAGCAACAAGATGGATATATGATATGGTTCCTTTGGAATTTAGTTATTTCTACATCTTTAAAAACTTACATTAGGAAATTTTGCTAAACATTACCAATTCAAAGACAATGGAGAAAATTCAAACATTTAATAAAAGCAAAGCTGATTTAGACTCATCTAGATATTTATTTAAACAAGCATCATTTAAAAAAAAAAATATTAAAGTTTTGTTGACAGTTTATCCTTTATAGGAAGTAACTATTTTTATGGGTTGATCCACATAATGATCATCCAATAAAAGATTGCAGGTATTTAATACTTTACTGTTCTTAAAAACTTCAGAAAATAGTTTGTTGATCTGATTAAGTTTAATAGTTTATTCAGTTTATTGCAATAAATTTCCTGCTTTTTTTTAATAAGCCTTAAGGATTTTTAAAACTTAGTTGTTAGGTTGTTTTTCTAATAGCCATTTAATAAACCTATAGAACTTCAAAGGATTTTTTTTGTACAAGACTTAATTTTTCAATATAGGTCTATTCTTAAATTTTTTAAACCCATTTTAAAATCTTAATCTTATACTAGATATTTGAATAAAGCTGATTTTGATTGTATTTGTATTGGTATAAATATTTAAATTAATTCTACATATTTTAGNATTGTAATTAAACATAAAAAAATACTTAAAACTGGAAAAAACAAAAATGCATTAATTTTAAAGAAAAAGCTTCAAACTTTATTTTCCATTGTCTCGCCTTTCTGTGAAATCTGACACTGATGAGTCAGTGTTTACAGCTGGATGACCTTGAGAACAGCTGGTATTGGATTTCCCAGGACATTCTCACAGAAGCTCGGGAGGCGATGGGTTTATAGTAGGGTGAATACTAGCTGGCTGTATACTTTTAAATATTTTTAAGATTAAGTGCTTTAGTTCCCGGCAATTTTTAATATTAATGTAATTAAACATAAAAAATACTTAAAACTGGAAAAAACAAAAATGCATTAATTTTAAAGAAAAAGCTTCAAACTTTATTTTCCATTGTCTCGCCCTAGATATTTGAATAAAGCTGATTTTGATTGTATTTGTTTTGGTATAAATATTTAAATTAATTCTACATATTTTAGAATATTAGATTTTAATTTTCTAAGTTCCTGAAGAGGTAAAATTAAGGTTGGCCATTAATCATAATTTTATTTTACAACTTTTGGTTTTAGGTATCAACTGACAGTTCATTTTTTTTATCTTCCTAAAGTAGCCACACTTAAAGAATTTTTGAAGGTTTCTCAATTAAAAGAAATGTAAAAACAATTCAGATTATTTTGGATAAAATCTTAAGATTCTAATATTAAACTTATTGGAAATTAATGACAAGATACTCTAAGTTCTTTAAATACATGACATAATTAAGTTTTTTAGATTGTAAACATTGACATTCTACAGTCACTTTTTTTAACAAATTTATTGTATATAGGTCCATTTTAAGATGACTAAATCAAAATGAAATCAGTGAAATTGGCAGTTTTTCATTGAAATAGGTTTTGGATTACCAGGTTGTGTGAAATGTTTAAACATCTTTGACTATTTATATTTAAATCAACATATTGTATAAAGAGTCAAAGCTGGATATTTACTTTGTGTCCAGTATTTTTCTTGGCAATTTTTTAAAATGAAAAACCTGTCATGCTTAACTGCTGTCTGACAAGATTTATTCCTGATAATCAGGGGGAAAAAAACAAATCAATGTATAAATGTCCCAAATGATCTATAATATAGCATGACTAGCAGACCCCACCATGCGTTGTTGTGGCTCAAAATTTATAACACTTCCCCGTGGGGGGGAATTTTTGAAAAATTTCTTAGTGTACATTCTCTTGACGTACCCTATTAAAACGCAATCAAAAATGCAAAAACCCGCATCTAAAATAGTATAAATAGAAGCAGAGTTCTTTACCGTAAGCCTTAATCCTAACCATCTTCCTTCAGTGGGGTTGAATTTCAACATGTATATTGTATAAAAACACGTGCGTATTCGAATGCAGCGTTGTGTCAAAATTTCAAAGGAATCGGTAGGAACAAACAATTATTTATATAAATAGATAGAAGATGATCTGCTTTGGTTCATTTTCACAGAAAAGCAAACTTAGGGCATCGTACTTGTAGCGTCATCTGTTGGACATAAAAGCCTTAACCTAGATTATATCTTTTAATTTATATGAATGTTTAACAGAATAATGTATAGCCTATGTCCACCCTGAAGTACCATTCTAAATATTGGTGAAAGAATTTTTGAAATTGGGTAAGTAGTTTCAAAGATTACCTGCTGCATACAAACTTACATACTTACAAACAATACCTCTTTATATTAGTAGTATAAATTGAATTTTAAGTTTCAAATAACAATAGCAAATAATTCAAATTTAATTTGTCAATTAAATTTTTTAAAGGTTAGTTAAGACTTATGTCAATAAAACCAAATGAAAAAAGCAGTTCTAAGAAAAGCTTAATGTTAACTTACCCCACTGATTTGTTCATATTTAATCCTAAATTGAATGGCAGCTTCCAATTTTATACAATTAGTGCCATTTACACCATATACAGTCCAGCTGCCTGTACTTGGATCATTAACAGGTGGAGGAAGTGCCGTGGTAGGAGGAGCCGTGGTAGGAGGACTTGAAGTTGTTACATTAGTAGCAGCAGTAGTAGTGGTGGTGGTGGTGGTGTTGGTGGTGTTACTGCTGGGGGGAATTGTAACAGGTGTTTCAGATGTACTAGAAGAATTAGTTTCAGTAACAGCAACAGTGGTATCTGGAGAATTATTTGCAGTTAACTCTGTTATCTGTCCAGCTGAAATTAAATTTAAGAAAAAAATTTAAAATAGAATACTACTTTCATTTAAAACACAGTTCAGTTTGAACTGTTTTGTTTTAAAATAAACATTTTTGCATTATTTTGACACTACTTCAATATCCAGAAAAATTAATATATAATTTACATTTTCAATAATAAAAGATTAATCAATAAAGTAAAAACCCTGACCTAGTCTGTTCTGAGATATTAAATTTATATGCATGCAAGTTTTTTTTTATAATCCATAAAAATTCTAAATTGGAGTAATGATCTAAATCACTGATAAATTAATATCATAAATAGCAGTGCAGAAGAACAATTAATATATATTTAGCAGGAAAAGTTAAGTTTATTGCTTGTGTTGGCCAGCATGTTAGCTATATTGTACATAAAACTAACCATTTAGAGAATATAGGCTATATTAAAAGCACCTATTTAAAAAAAGTGCTTATATACCAAGTCAACTGTACTTGAAATAAGATTGAATAATCTGAAATTTCCAGTTAGAATTTAATATTAAAAAAATTCTATGAACATTGAATTCTTTCCACGAGAGATTAAAACTTTAGATCAAGCCTGTCTAGCCATTTTTAGAAAGCCAATTCCGTTCACAAACAAGCAATTTATTGTGACATCATCACAACGCCAACCTGCAATTTTTACACAGTTTTAATTTATTTAATTTAAAATATGTGCTCTCCATCTCAAATTAGTAGTGGCTTGTCCCTGTACATCATACTTTATCTTTAACAATAGTCATGCCAGTCATCAAAACTCTCCCCTGAAAAGTATTAAAATTTCAATGCCGACTTCCGGTTTGCATTAGAAGTTCATATATATAGTTAATCAGTGCCTCATGCCACTAAGGTTTCCACATCTGTTCTGATCTTAACTCTGTTCAAGATTAAGTGCTTTAGTTCCCGGCAATTTTTAATATTAATGTAATTAAACATAAAAAAATACTTAAAACTGGAAAAAACAAAAATGCATTAATTTTAAAGAAAAAGCTTCAAACTTTATTTTCCATTGTCTCGCCTTTCTGTGAAATCTGACACTGATGAGTCAGTGTTTACAGCTGGATGACCTTGAGAACAGCTGGTATTGGATTTCCCAGGACATTCTCACAGAAGCTCGGGAGGCGATGGGTTTATAGTAGGGTGAATACTAGCTGGCTGTATACTTTTAAATATTTTTAAAAAATTAATTTTTATTGTGATTTCTGACCCCCACGACTTAAACGTATATATAATAAAATACATTAATTAAAAATCATCGGAGGTCGTTTTTGATATCAGAAAGTAGCTTTAAATAACTTTATTGAAGGAAAATCCGTGTACTAGAACTTCAGAACGATGAATAAAATTTGATATCAAACTCCCATTAAAAAACAATTGTTAATCACGCGTCATTAAAGGTAGATTAAAATCGCGATAAAATTTTTTCGCACGGGTAAAAGTTTTTGAAAAAATTTGGAGACCTAAAAAACATCAAAAATTGAAGGAAAAAAATTTTTAGGGGGCAAAAGGACCGAATTTTCTGTAATGCTATGTAATCTGCCCGAGTTAACTCAGGCGAGGAACAGAAGGACAGACTGACAGTGGGAATTTATAGGTCTACAATTTTTCAAATTGCAGTCCAACAAAATCAAATGAAGACAGTAGTAGGATTGGTTATTCAACATAGATCCTATTAAATAATACTTTAAGGGTTAGCTATTCTACAGTGATTTGTAAAACATTTGTTTTCATAAAATCTTCAGTTCTTCATATCTAATATAAATCTGAACTAAAAAAATCCGCCTAATGGTAAGCAATTATCAAAATTAATTTTACCGTAAGGGCATCAAAAATTTAAGATTATAAATAATAAAACATGTAGACAGTTTAGAATATGAACATAAATATTAGATATTTGGTTTAGCCCTCCTAAACTAAAAAATTTTTAAAAAGTTGTTTTTATTAAACTTCATGGTGGTAAGAGAAGTCTTCTCCAGTCAATCATTTCAAACAGTAACAGGGAAAACCATGCAGACCCTTTTGTAAAGGTATACTATGTTGGGATGAGCTGAACAAATGGTTCAAATAGCTCATTTTGAAATAGCTTGAAGAGGTGGCAATGGTAGTATAATGAAAATAGGACAGCATTATAAAAATTGTAGCATGAAGATTTAATTGAACCTTTTAGCATATTCCAAGATAAGGTGGGATCCCAAAACAGATCATCAAATATGATATTCTTTACTGCACAACAAGCAGTAACAGTGTACCACTGCATAACACAAATGTAATGAGTGGTTGAATATTTAGGCTCAGATTAGCAGTGATATGGTGATTAGGTTAACACTTAAATAAGTAGCATTTTATATTATCTACTAAATTGGATCACTTACATATTCATGATCACTGCCAACCTAAACTTAAAAAAGCAATATGGGAATTGTTGAATGTGCAATTATGTAGCAATGCACTACTGCACAACATTTGGATATGACCACACATTCTTGCAATTGTGTGTGGTCATATCCAATGGGTCTGTTTCAGGATACCACTTGATATTTTAAAAGTGCATTACACTCTTATCTTTTTTAAATTTTTTCATGTGCTACAACTTTGTAATTGATATTACCATTTCATTACAGATAATAGCCCTCTCCGACAGAAGGGCTGTAGGGGGAACAAACAGACTGTTTTTAACAGGGTTTTCCAACAGTTCATAAAACTAAAATTTTTCATTTTTTCACTAAATGTAGAAAAATGCCTTTAATTATGTGGTAGGTTGTTGCATGCATATATATGTTGCAACTGGATTGTTAATTTAGCTGCCTTATTATAAAAACAGCTAGATGCTTTGTAAAGTGGCAGAAATCAGTATTAAAATGTGAATTATGCACTAGGATTAGGAACAAAAATGTTAGAAGTACAAAAAACACATTATATAATCAAACTTGTGTACATTAACTTGAAAATTATGAAGTAAGTCAATTACTTGCTTTTAAGAAATATATTTTAAAATAAATGACCAATGAACAGTTGATTAGTTAAAATCTAAGGTTACTTTATCATAAATTAAGAATTACTTTTGTAAAAATCAGAACAAAGATTGTACTAGTATGTCAACCTACCTAACTTTTAATACAAAAATCAGAAAACAAACCATTAAATTTCTTCAACATTTACAAAATACCAAATGTATCAAATAGATGTGTTATTAATGCAAAAATAAACTAAATAGGCATTTAGATCTGCAAAGAACATTTTTAAAGCATATGCCTCTATTAGTGTGACACCAATTTTTCATGGGTTTGCATGAGCACTTTTGAAATCAACTATCAAATAATGACTGATCTTTATAATGATGAAATACCAGAATCATGTCTGACTCCATAACCACTTTTTATAGTTATTCTAGATTTAGTCCCTACTTTGTAAACTGGTTTATGAAACTATTTTTTCCATATTTTTAGTACCTAAATGACCACAACCTATTTGTTATATTAAGAAAAATACTTTTTCCAATATCTAATAGGGAAGATTCCTTAGCAACCTTTAATTTCTTTCTGCACTTCTGTTTCAATTTGTATATTATACTAGCTTTTTTATATAAACATCTGATCCATAATCAATTGCTTTTGGATAATCTGCAAATAGCATGAACAAATTTAAACAGGAACTGCATTGATCAACCCTACTAGTTTCATTTTGACACACTGGATAGGTTAGACAAGGTGATAAAATACCTTTTCTAACCACAGAAAATAATGAGTTTCTAAAACCAAATTATCAGAACTGTACAATGTCCATTAGAAAACATTCAGTATGATATTTCACATGTCCTTTTACAACTTTTTGATCATTGTTCATGTTATGTAGCTCCTCAGTTTCAATAGATGAAAGAATACAAATCAAGAATATTAGAATTTTGTACATCAGTTTTAAGCTCACTACCCAATAAGGCAATCTGCCAATGACTGATAATTCATTTTACTCATTCCACAAAACAGCACCCAATTGACCATTTGGTCAAATTATTTTCATGCATCCAAGATCTAATGAGTAAGCATATTTTCAACATGTTATAAGATAGTATAGAATGTAGTAACTATTTGCGGATGTTGAGGACTGCCATGCACAATTTCACACACCGACACATTTACAGATTATTTGAGGATTTTTGCAGTGAACTTCCAGTCACTCATTCTGTAGGCTATATGCAGCTCCAAACTGTAAAAAATTTTAACAGTTCTACAGTTACTCTAGATGGCCACTTGAAGCAGTAGCAAGACTGTTACTGTCAAGATAATGCTACTAGCCATTTATACTTTCCATCTGGTGCTGACTATAAATCAATTAAATCAACTCATCCATTTTCTATAAAAATCTTTAGAAAAACTGTTGGTCACAATACATTTCTTAGATATAATTACATTTGATTTTGCAGGTGGGATAAAAGCAACAAACTTCAACTGCTTTTTTTAAATGTATATAAATGTTTTTTATACTGTATCACAGTATAAAAAACATATATACATGTACCATGTCCACAGGATTTATAAATTTCCATCAATACATCAAAATATAATTCAGTGCATATGATATGTACCATAGAATTCTCAGGTAACTTTTTAAAAATAAATACAGTCAATGAATATCTCATCATACTTTGAACTGCATTAAAATTCAATAGACATCCATTGTGCACCAGAATCTAAGGCCATTGTCTAAAATTCTCTAATCCATAGTTTCTTCAAATTTCCATGCTGTTCTGCATAGAACTCCATTAGGTGTTGAAATTAATTTTAAACCCACTATAGTCAGATAAACTTCACACTTATTTGTTGTAATATCCAATATTTATAGCAGAACAGACATTAACAACATATTAGTGAATGTCTCTTGGCACCTCGAGTGGTAAGAATCTGAAGTAAATATAGCAACCTGATGCCTCATTGTAAAGCAGCTACTTGTTTGGCCAGTTGTATTGTAGAACAATATCACAAT